CAAGGGCCATGTGCACGAGAGTCTCAGCCCTTGTGTCGTCCCCGCTCTGTTAACACCTAAGAAGGATGGGTCGTGGCGTATGTGTGTTGATAGTCGGGCCATTAACAAGATTACTATGCGCTATCGTTTTCCCATTCACCGGTTGGATGACTTGCTTGATCAACTGGGAGGCGCTACTGTCTTTAGCAAATTGGACCTTAAGAGCGGCTATCATCAAATTCGTATTCGCGCGGGTGACGAGTGGAAAACTGCCTTCAAAACTCGGGAAAGGCTTATTTGAATGGCTGGTTATGCCCTTCGGGTGATGAACCAGGTACTTTGGACGTTTATTGGACACTGCGTGGTCGTCTATTTTGATGATATCTTGATTTATAGCGACAATGAGCTGGCCCATCTAGACCACTTGCGGAATGTGTTGTTGGTCCTCCGCCGGGAGAAGTTCTACGAGGCGACTGCCAAATGTGCTTTTCTCTCGCCGTCGATCCAATTCCTTGGCTATGTGGTCTCGCGGGATGGCCTCCAGGTTGATCCGAGTATGGTTCGCGCGATAGAGCAATGGCCCCGTCCATCGTCCGTTACCGAGGTACGCAGCTTCCATGGACTAGCATCTTTTTACCGTCGTTTCATCCCTTACTTCAGCGGGGTCATGGCGCCCCTTACGGATTGCATACGAGGTTTGAAATTCTCCTGGCCCCCTGACGCGGAGGCTGCATTTCTGGAGATCAAGGCGCGGCTTGTCTCCGCCCCCATATTGCTGCTTCCTGATTTCACCCAGCCTTTTGAGCTCCATTGTGACGCTTCGAAGACCGACATCGGTGCTGTCCTCAGTCAATCCGGCCGCCCCGTTGCCTACTTCAGCGCGAAGTTGTCTGGTGCCAAGCTTCGTTTCAGCACGTATGACGTCGAGTTCTATGCAGTGGTGCAAGCCATTAAACATTGGCGCCACTATTTGTTCCACCGCGAGTTCGTCCTCTACACCGACCATGATTCTCTCAAACACCTGGGCAGCCAAGACAAGATTTCTCATCTTCATGCATCCTGGATTTCGTAACTGCAGCAATTCACTTTAGTGATCAAACACAAGGCTGGAGTTTCTAATCGCGTGGCTGACGCATTAAGCCGGAGAAGTGGGCTACTGACAGAGATGCGCGTACAGGTGCCCGGCTTTGATTCGTTCATGGCTCTTTACGTTGATGACCCTTATTTTTCGCAGGTTTTGGAACGTCTTCAACGCGGTGAGTCAACTGACTTTGTGTTGGATGGCGGGTTCCTCTTTCGGGGTGTTCAACTCTGCGTCCCCTCTTGTAGCCTACGCCTGAAGATGACTCAAGAACTCCACAATGAGGGTCATGTGGGCCGCGACCGTACGTTCCAGCTTCTGTCAGCCTCTTACTTTTGGCCCTCGATGCGCAAGGAGGTCGGTCGGTTTGTGGCCCGCTGTCGCACGTGCCAACTGGCGAAAGGGGCTGCCACCAATGCCGGATTGTATCGACCTCTACCTATTCCTACCCAACCTTGGTCCGATGTGAGTATGGACTTCGTCCTTGGTCTCCCTCGCACCCAGCGTGGATCTGACTCCATTTTTGTGGTCGTGGATCGTTTTTCCAAGATGGTCCATTTTATACCATGCAAGAAGACCTCGGATGCGGTCGCCGTGGCCCAGCTCTATTTCCGGGACGTCTACCGTCTCCACGGCCTTCCTGCGTCTATTGTCTCGGATCGTGATACCCGTTTTGTGAGTCATTTCTGGCGCAGTTTGTGGCGTATGGTTAATACGCAGCTGAACTTTAGCAGTGCTTACCATCCGCAGATCGACGGGCAGGTGGAGGTTGTTAATCGTTCGTTGGGGAATCTCTTACGCAGTTTGGTTGGCGATCACCCTAAAGCATGGGATCTTAAGCTTCCCCAAGCGGATTTTGCTCATAACCACGCGGTCAATCGCTCCACAGGCTTCCCGCCGTTCCGCGTTGTCTATGGGTTGTCCCCGCGGGTGCCTCTTGATCTGCTCGCCCTCCCTAGCAAGGTCCGTCCTCACGCTACAGCTGTCGAGTTCGTGAGTCAGCTGGCCCAGATTCATTCCACTACGCATGATCGTTTAGTGGCTTCCACGGCAGCATACAAGACTCGTGCCGATCAGCACCGCCGCGCTGTGGAGTTTGACGTTGGTGACTTTGTTTGGGCTATCCTCACCAAGGATCACTTCCCCGCCCGTGAGTATAGCAAGGTCGCCGCGAAGAAGATTGGTCCTGTTGAAATTGTGGAGAAGATTAATCCGAATGCGTATCGCCTGCGACTTTCGAGCCATGTTCGTACGTCCGACACCTTTAATGTGAAGCACCTTGTTCCTGTCGTGGCGGATTCGTCCTCAGATGAGGACGATGTGGATTCGCGGTCGAATCTTTTCTATCCCCGGGGGAATGATGTGGCATCCTGTGCCGCGCGGCCTTAGTGGTCTTGAACACCAATTTTTTGTTTCTTTTATGTTATTTGTGACCTTAGCAGTAATTTTCTTTCCTAGCTCTAGTCGGATTAGGTTTCAGTATCTTAGCTATAAGTATATCGGCTTGTAGTCCTTTGTTCGGCAGTTTTGATATTGAATAAAAGAACAAAAGAGGTTTTCCTCGCAAAAATCACTCTCGGCTATTCTTGTGAATCAACGAGTTTTGATTTGACCTTCTTCCGTCGCGCGCGCTGCATCAAATAGGTGGTTGTTTCTCTCTTTCTAGAGAAACCATAGGGTAATTAGAACCGCAGTAAGCTCCTCCTCGTTCGTACCCTCGATTAGATTGCAGAGCCACTCCTCGCAATTCTTCCCTTCCCCCATTAGGAAATACCTCGCCAAATAGCTTGGCCTCCAGACTCGCCCTACCCAGTCACAATCCCTCGTTATGTGTTCTTGAGTTTCCACCAATCCACAAAAGGGGCATTCATCATGTGCCTCTAGGATTCTCCTGCTGAGATTTGCCCCTGTAGGAAGGAAGTTACTGCCCCATCTCCATACAAAAACCCGAACCTTAGGAGGTGATTGGAGCATCCAGAGTTTTTTCCAATCAATGGGAACATAGCTTTCAATCTGGTCACTCAAGTGTCTTCTCCTCCATTCTCTGTATCCAGAACGAACTGAATAATTCCTAGTTTTCTCCTTAGTCCAAATTCGAACATCTGGCCTGGGCCGAATAGAGATTGGAATTTGTTTGATCCGGTCTCGATCTTCAAGCCGGAAGTTTGCTTCCAAAAGATTGCTTTTCCAAGATCGAGTATCCTGATCAATTAATTTCGATACCCTTTCTGTAATTCCCAATCCAGCTACTTGTGTCTGAACTCGGTAATCATCAGCTGTTGGAATCCATCGATCCCACCATATTCTCACACTCTCTCCATCTCCTATCCTCCATCTCGTACCCTCTCTGACCAGGCTTTGAGCTTGCATCAGGCTCCTCTAAATGTAGCTTGGGTTAGAACCAACCTCAGCTTCCAGGATATCACAATGGGAATGATATTAAGCTTTGAGTACTCTCCCCACTAATGTGTTAGGATTTTGGAGTAAATTCCAGACCTGCCGTCCCAGCAAAGCAATGTTGAAACCCTGGAGGTTCCTACAACCCATACCACCCTCATATTTAGGTCGACATAGTTTCTCCCAACTCATCCAGTGAGTCCTCTTTTCTTCCCTTTTCTTTCCCCACCAGAAGCTAGCTATCATACTCTGAATCTCCTGAATTACTTCTTGAGGGATTAGGAAAACAGACATAGCATAGAGTGTTTGAGCTTGTGACACTGCTTTAATAAGAATTTCTTTAGCAGCATTTGAAAGAAGTTTCCCTTTCCACAGGTTGATCTTATTCCGCACTCTATCTATAAGCTGAGAGAATACAGCCTTTTTAGCTCTGTCAATCACTGTAGGAAGTCCCAAGTACTTGTCATGATACATGACATTTTTCATTCCCAGGATCTCTGCCATTTTCTTTCGATTCGCTTCTGAAACATTTGTGCTGAAAGACAATTCTGATTTAGTCAAATTGACTTGCTGCCCTGACGCTTTCTCATAGATTTGTAGGATATCCCTCAACATTTCACCCCAAGGTAGATGATTAGTGGAGCCGGATTTAGAGTTTTCTTAGTAGATTGAGTTTGTATTTAAGGTTCTGTTTTTGCATTTCAATAAAATTGTCAGTTTTCAGCCAATTGGGTTTGCTTGACTATTTTTAGAAAATACTTGCGTCTCATGAATTTGTAAAAATCTAGTTTATAGGTGAGATTTGGACCAAATTCATAAATAGTGTAAAATCTGTTATGTATCCACGATATAATTCAACCAAATCTATCGTCAAATTCAACAAGCAAACAACAAAAAATTTCAAATCCATAATGGACCATTCCATCACAAAACCCAAATTTTTTAAAATCCATGTTATGATCAAAACCTTCGTTTTTCAAATACAACAAGCAAACGGTATGTCTTTGGAGTGATAATTTGTCCATCTTTTATTCATCTGTGTTGCTTTGTGAATTGCTTTAGAGGCAACAGAATTATCGATCCATTTCATGTTAATAATTGTGTCTGTTCCAAAAACTGGGAAAAAGGACTGAATTCTCATTTACTGCCTTCATTATGAAGCAAAACTCGCTCCAGCTTCACTACCTAATCTTGTACTGATCGATCAAGCTCGCCAGAAGCTTTGTCCATTGTAATGGTTCTTCTGAATCCCATTTAACCCAAGAGTAACAAACCCAAGGGGTTCAGACCATTGGCAAAGGACACAGAATCCAGAGTGAGCTGCTTTCATCTTTCAACATCATTGATGCTTTACAATTGAGGGATAGGGTAGTGCACTGGAAAAACTGCAGCATCCTTTGCCCATTCTGTTGATTCCATAAAAGTTAAAACAGCATCCTTTGCCATTGATTGATTTTATAAGACAAATATACATGTGTAAGTTTTTGACAGATAGGCAACCCTTCTTGAGAAATTGTGCAAGTCTTACAACACATATTAGTTGTCAAGCACCTGCAGGTTCATGTTTTGGGTTTGAAGCAGGAGTCTCCAAATGTGAAGCATCTGCAGAACAGTGAGGCAGGCGGCTTGGACATAACTGATGAGGGAGTGTCTCATTCGTGCTTGACAATAACTTCTTCAGTCTCTCTTTCAGAAAAGGCGAAAGGGCGTCACATGATGTCAGAGTATCCACATTGTTTATAACCCCTTTAGTGACAAGACTGTTGAAGGCTAACGACACACCATTAGCAACTGTATAAGAACGCATCTGGTCATAGTTGTCCACAAGAAGCAACAAAAACTCCAGAAGGGATTGGGTCATGCCGACATACTGTGGCATGGAACACACCATCAGAAGCATTGCCGGCTCAATATTCATTATGTTGTCCATTCTTTCATCAAAGTAAAGCCAGTCATAAAATAATGCCAACTTTGCATTGGCTTCAACATACTTCTTTCTAAAACTACTTAGCAACCAACCTATAATTGCCCATCTAGGTACACTATCAGAGTGAATAATTTCGTTAGATGGATGATGAGCACAGCATATGAAACGAATCATGTCAACTATAAGAGTCTCCCTCTCCGGCTCAAACAGGAACTTCTTGGCAAACCACGTTTGGTAACGCTTCAGATGCCTAAACTTGACATGAACAAGTAAGAACCTCAATTGAAGCTCCATTTCTGGGGTGACTCGAAGCAAGAAGTACCTACTTGAGGTCCTAGTAGAGTACAGTTGTCCAACATCTGAAAACCCCTCAGTTCCAAATGTAGTTGGATCCAGAACTAAATCCTTCCATATATTGCGAAACTCTGGGACATGAACCAAATCCTGAAGCAGCCTAACTAGGTCCCTCCCAATCTTCATACTCAAATGAAACTGCTCCCTCAACATCTTCACACAGAACTCAATCTCCAATTTCTTCAAGAAGTCCACTCGGACATTGCCTGATACTCTACAATGATCGGCTAACAATCGAAGATACACATACAATGCACTTGTCAACACAGAGGGCTCTTGTTCCAGTAAAGAGATGAAGTTTGTCAATAACAGATTAATAAGCTCAAAACACAACCATAAACCCCTATCAGTATAATCACAGCCGACAGTGTGCCTCAACAAACCCACCAGCAAACCATCAAACCCAACCCCGAAAACACCAACGATTTCGTTAACAGCCCAAATCAACTGCTGCTTCACAGAATCAACTAGCTTGTTGTACAACTCAAGCACAACCCTAAGAGTCAAACTAACAAAAAGGGCATACCCATCGGAGACCAAGCCATGAAGATGCTTAACATGAATCTTGGCAAACTGTGGTTCAGTTAGGACCCCGTAAAGAAGAGCATGATTGAGTTGGGAATACTCCTGCGGGGTTGGGATTGCTATAGAAAATGGGGGCCTTAATCTGGGTTCAAGTTCCATGAAAGCTTGCCTTAGTGAAGACTCAAACTCGTTTCCCGCTTCATGGGTACCAACATTCAGCAGCTTTGATTCCATATCTTTTCTCGATCTTGAGAATAAAACAGAGACTAGAGTTAGCTCACCTGATCAAGATCACCTCCCGCTCCAAAATGCCACTTCCTGGCAATTCGGGAACTGCTTTTCCAATTGTCGCCGCCACCGAGAGCGAGATAAGGAGGCTGTCGCATATCTGATCACGGGGAAGCACTGCTTGAAGGGAATTTGACCCTTTTGGAGGAAGAAACTCGTCTGGCGAAATTCCTCCACATATTCGCAGCAAGTTAAGAGAACTGTGCGGGCAGCTGCTGAGGGATTGGAAGGGGACCCTAAAAAGGGTATCTTGAAGGAATACTGAGAGAAGCGATCGTTGTTGAGTTTAAGAAGTTACGATGTAGCGATAATGTGAAGGAGATCATGGGATATTGGAAAGAGTCATGGAAGTGAAAAGCGGAGTGGGGAAGAAGGGAGATCGATTGCAGGCAGGCAGGCAGGCAGGAAACTGGGAAGGAGGTTTGAAGGGCTGAGCCGCTTTCAGAGTCAACCCCTCTTAAAACAGTTACCACTATTCTGACCGACCCGCTTGAATAAATTTATTAGAGAGCGGCGGAAAAGGTAAATGTGGTGGTGAGGCGTTCCTGGGCCGCGAGGGAGGGACTAGGCAGGGAGAGAGAAAGTCAGCAAGGGCTCGACCGGAGAGAGTAAAAGCGTAACGTGTATGGAGATTCGCTACTGATTTTGCCGACGGAAGGAAGCTCGGCGAGGGCGAAAGAAGGAAGAGATAGTATCTAACAGAGTAAGCGAGATTGGGAAGAGAGTCGTGGCACGCTGCGGGTCCGACGAGAAGAGAAATCAGAACGAGTGAAGATCGAGGAGAGCGCAAGGTTTCTGCTTTGAATTTCTTGACGCCGTCGGTGATTTTCTTACCCTTTCTTATTTCGATTCTACATTGGGTTTCTTTGTGATTCGGCAATGCCTTCACGCAGGCGAAGTTTTAGGGTTTACCCTCCTCGGGAGACTGTTTGAGTAGTGGAAGGGAATGGTTTAGAATTAAGTGGTGGTTGAAATTGAAATTTACGCTAGTTAGCTCTTAGTGTTGGAATTTGATATGCCATCGATAGACATGTTTGTGAATCTGTTGGTTGTTGCAGGTTGCTTGAGTGAAACTGCTCAAAAGGTGGCTTCTTTTTCTTCCCCTGTGATGTGACCTTTCTGGGGATTGACTGACTGCCTGCTTTATCTTCCCCTAAAACGTTTGATGTTTGTTTGATTCGTCTGGTCTTAACTAATGGAGAAATATCTTCTTGTGGTAAAGAAGTTGTTCTTCTACTAATCAGAGTGGAACTAGATTTTCACTTGCTTATCCTGAGATATCTAGTGTTTTCCGTTCTTAGATAGGTTGGGGAATTGTGACTCACTGGCTTTTATTTTGTGCTGTGATTGTTGAGTGGGGAGCATGAGAAGATAAATGCTTTTGGTTTCTGATTTGATAGATACAGTTTCACCATGAATGTCTGTGAGGTGTTGATTTAGTAGGTTTTGTTTTGCTAACCGGGGTGTTTGTGGGAAATTATCCAGGGAAAGGCTTTGTGAAATGAGAGGAAGGAGTTACAGTCCATCACCCCCAAGGAGCCACAGTAGGAGGAGGAGGAGTCCAAGTCCTAGGGGACGATATGGTAGTCGCGGAAGTGGGAGAGATCAGCCTACTAGTCTTCTAGTTCGGAACCTTCGTCACGATTGCAGGTTGGTGGAAAGTCCCCATTCGTATTCATAAATACTGGCTGGAGATGTTCTTTTTTGTGTGTGTGTGTGGTTTTGGTCTTGTCTGGTGTTGTCCTGTAAGATTGGCATTCTGTTTCCTGTAACCTGATTGCTTTCTCTCCACAGTTAATTGGTTGTTAATTCTCCTTTTTCACATACTGAACTGATTTGGATGAGACAGATAGTGTCAGCATCATACTTAATTGTAGTGTTCCGAACTTAAAAAGCTTTTCTGCAATTTCACACATGAGGAACTTAGGGTATGCAACTCCTTTATTTTGCAGACCAGAAGATCTTCGTAGGCCCTTTGAACAGTTTGGTCCTTTGAAGGATATTTATCTGCCCAAAGATTATTATACTGGGTGAGGATGTGTTTCTGATTATAGACTGTTTTCTTTTTGTCTATGGCACCTCTTGGTTGTGGTTTTGTAATAGACTTATTTTCTTTTCTTTCCCTCTTTTGCACGTTTAGCTGGTATCATTTTCTTTGTAGACCACTTGAAAAAAATAGGGAACGTGGAGCAGTTTCAGAGCTTGAATCTCTGGGAATACAAAAGAATGGTTGAATTCCTTAGGAACTGCAAATTTTAGAAGTTCAGTTTCTGACAGTTTAATTTTACTACTATAAGATTTTGGTAAGTGCATGTCATTAAGAACCATAGTTCCATGAAAGAATGGTTGAATTCAATAGAAATTGCAATTTAAAAGTGTAGTTTCTGACAGTTTAATTTTAGTAGTGTAAGATTTTGGTAAGTGCATGTCACTAAGCACAATAGTTCCATAAAAGCGCTAATTAAGTGAATCTTAAGCTTTTATTGTATTTTAGTTGGCTTAGAATTTGTGTTTGGATCAAAGATTTGTTTACTATGGGGTTTTCTTCATGATGTCACCTCTTGCAATTAAAGTTGGGTGGCCGTTAATTAAAGTTCTTGAGATGTTATAGTGAAATATAATGTTTCGAAGACATCAACCAAGTAATTAGAGTTTTCTGGAAGGTGGTGGTAATGGTAGTGAAGATTGAAGGAAGTGTGGGTTTGAATACATTATGAAGATGTTTCAAGTCTTGAAGAGTCTCGAGACATCTTCTTACTAACACTTGAAGGTCAGCAAACCAGGTGCTTGCTTTCTGATGTTAATGTTTATTGCGAATGACCTTTGTATATATTACGAATTGTGTTAGTACACTTTGTTGGCAAAGGATGGTGAACTTTGAGCTATTCATTCACGACCTATGAATTGGATCCTCATATTCCTTTTTGTTTCTGCACTTTTTATTTTGAAGTGAACCTCGTGGTTTTGGGTTTGTCCAATATGTGGATCCTCATGATGCTACTGAGGCCAAGCATCAAATGGATGGTCGAGTTCTTCATGGTCGCGAGTTAACTGTTGTGTTTGCGGAGGAGAACAGGAAGAAGCCTACTGAAATGAGGACAAGGGAGCGAGGGAGGTAGGATTCACTTGTTCACTGCCTTTCATTCTTTAGATTGAATGTTCTCTAATCAAACTATATGCGAGTGAGAAGATGTTTTATCGAGATTTCAATTAACATGGCCAAGTGCTTGATTTCCTGTGGTGTTCGGTTCTGTATCCTGTTGTGCTGATATTTTAACTGTGTGATCTCTTTCATATACTGGACCAAAATCATTGTTTCTTTGATCCATTTAGTTAACTTGTTGTCGCACTTAAAAGTCAAGTATTATAACTAATTGTCCTATACTCATCTTGCTAGAGTAGTATACTTTGGAATAAGAGGATAATTGATCAAGTACAAATCTGCATCCTCTGTATTAATTTGGAGATAGTATGTAGACTTCTGCTGTCTAAGACTAACTTCAACCCGTAAAGTCAAATTTGGCTCCCCAAATAGCCAAATTTGGCTTTTTAGCTCCCCAAATCCCATTTTCACTCCAACCCTACACAAATCTAAATTTCGCTTCTCATCTCCCTTTTTTCAATTTATTACAATAAACCATACTTATTTGACCTCTAATTTTTATATTTCACTTTAATTATTCTATAGTTAGTTATTACTTTTGAAAACAAAATTTTCGATGTAATTTTTTTTAAATTCCGAGACAAAAAATATTTCGGAAAATTAGTCATTATTTTGTTACCGTTAACTTCGGGACCACTGAGATAATACCAATTAAACACACAACAATTCATATCTTCTTTCAAACAATTAAACAAACAACATACACAATCAACCAATGACAAAATACCACACAAAAAAAAGAAAAAAGAAAAACAACACAATCAACCAATGAGAAAATTCCACAGAAACAAATAAAAAATAAAAAATAAAGGAGGACCCGCCGCGGGTCCACCATTTTCTCTAGCCAAATTTGGCTTTTCCACTCTTTTGGGAGCTAAATTTGGCTCCCAATTCATCAATACCCATTTTTAGCTTCCCAAAATAATGTGGGTTGGAGCACAAAAAAAAAGCTAAAAATGGGTAAATGGCTTTTTAGCTCTAGGGTTGGAGTCAGTCTAACTTCAGTGGAATGGTGGTTAACTTTGCAGTAGAGGAGGAGGAGGAGGAGGAGGTCGAATGCGTGACAGGAGGTGGTCCCCACCTCGTTATTCCCGTTCACCTCCTCCACGCGGGCGTGCGAGATCAAGGTCACGCAGTGGTGGTTATTATTCTCCACCTCCAAAACAACAAAGGCGATACTCTAGGTAAATGATGCTTTGGTACTTCCAGACTTGTTCATTTGTTAGTGTCTGTCTCATATGGTGTGACTTGGTTTATGATTCTTTGAGCAGATCGGTATCACCTCAAGAGGGGAGGTATAGCAAAGAGAGGTCGTACTCACCTCGATCGAGGAGCCGCAGCCAGACACCACCTCGTCCTCCGAGGAGGGCTCCAAGCGAGGAGGGAAATGGGGTTGGGAGGAGCAGGAGTCCCAGCAGAAGCCGCAGTCCACCGCCACCTAGGAGGAGCAGGAGCCCTGCAGATAGGTCCCTTAGCCCGTGATTCTTCAGTCTGGGTGGAGAGTTATTCTCTTCTCTCGCTCGCTCGTTCGTTCTGTGTCTTTTAAAACGGCCACCGAGTTTGCCCTGTAGCGGATTTGGGGATATTTGGTAAGTGATGTAGGCTGCAATATTCTCTGCTTCTGCTTTTTTTGTTTTGATTCGGTAACCTGTAGCATGGTTAACCTGCAACTTGGAATTCTGTTGTTTTTAATCCAACCAAGCCACTTTTAGCATAATATTTCATTTTGTTTTCGGTTACAAACCCAGTTCATAGTCTTGCATAGCAGGAATCTTACAGCAATAGATAACTTATTCAGAAGAAAGGAATACTACAAGTCTGACACGTTAACTGAAATCCTAGGACTAGGGGATGTAATTAGAGATGACAATCAAACTCGCGACGACATGATCCGAAAGACAATCAATCAAGTTAACTGAAATCCATCCTAGCATGTTGTGGATGGAACTAAGAATCAAGGGATGAAGTAGAGAGGGTTGGAGATTTTGAAAGACCTAGCAGCCACAGCATAGCCTTGCAAGTCACTCCATTGATCTCCACAGCTCCCATGGATCCTATAACCTCCGTCCACCAGCCCCTGCCTCTTCTCCGATTTGTACTGGCTCGCCGGCTTCTCTTCATCTTCCACCTCCCTGGCATCCACCAGACACATTGGCATCGTTAAATTGTCATAAAAGTTTTAAGGAAAATGAAGGCGAAAATTGATTACCTCAAGAAGAACTTCTCCCAGGCACTGTAACCTTGAGCGAGGAGATTCACGGCAGAAGCATTCCTCTGTGCTTCGAGCCGGCCGGTGAGAATGAAGATGGTGAATCCCAGGCTTTTCAGCTCCTTGTATAGTTCCAAGCTGGCCGGTAAGACTGGGCATGCGGCTTGGTCCACCCAATCGTTCCAAGACTGTTCATGGACCGACCGTTTCGCACTAGTTCCGGCGACCAGCCACACCAAAAGAAACGTTCAACAAAAACCACAACCCATGGGTGTGGATATAAATATATATATATATGATTTGTTACAAGAACCGGACCGGTGAACGGTTATATCAAGTAGAATCGTCAAGCTAATTACAATTGTGGCGGTTCAATTTATGTGATTGGATGGTAAGAAGTGAACCAAACAGTTTTTTATGGTTGGATATCGAATCAATCAACCAAATGAACCATCTCAATTTGATTTGTTCACTCGTTACGGTTACTAATTGTACTTATTCTTCATTTTCTACCTCTCTATTACCCTCCTAATTGCTAATTTGAATTTCGATAAACTTTTTATAAAATTTCTTTTGTGAGACAGTTTGAATGGTCCATCAGACGAGTTTTGGTGTTGGAATTATATGAATTTGGAGTTATTGAGTCCTAAACTAAACTAGTATGTTATATATGTTTTATTATCCGTTTTAATAATAATAATCAACCATTAAACCATGAAATTTTTCCAATTCAACAATCAAACATGGGTATGTGAAAGTATGGAGCTACATTGAGTGTTGAACTAACTAACTAATCAAATTTTACCTGAGACCGTGGATGCCGTAGTAAGGCAGATTGGAGAGCAGGGTCTCGTCGACGTCGAACACCCAAGCGTCCTTCCCGTCTCCGGCGCCCGGCACGGTGCGGGCGTACGCCGCCGCCTCGGAAGCGTACACCTCCAGGTCCGAGCTGTACTGCTCCCCCTCGAAGTACTTGACGACGTAGTCGGCGCACCGCTTCGGCGGTTCGGTCCACGCGACGGAGTTGTTGGCTTCCACTGACAGCCTCCAGCTGTTGCAGTAGAGCTGGTCGTCGCCGTGACGGCGGTCGCTAGGGATTCGGATTAGTGGCCGGAAGGCGGAGGCAGGGCCCAGTACGAGTAGGAGGAGGAGAATCAATGTCGCCGGGATCGGCGAGTGCTGGATCGACATTGAGATTTTGAAACGGCGGGCGTAAGGGATGAAACGATTTTTTTTTTTTTCTTTTTCTTTCTATCAGTGGACGAATGATTGAATGGATCTGGATTTGCTTCGCTTCTTCTTCCTGTCTTTATAGCAGCCACATACAATGAGCCAAAAACGCTCATTATTAGCTTCACATTCGATTCAGGAAAACCATTCGTACAACACTCAACTCGTTTACATATAAAAAACTAATCTAGTCAGTTCATATTTCTACAGGGGTTTGGATCAACATTAAATTAAACGGATCACCCTCGAAAGGTAATTTGCCTATAGGGTTTGTGATTGATTAATCCATTTATTGATTACATACATTACGAAATTGAAATTGATGAAGGTCGTCACTCAGTCTTAATCGTGCACACAAAGTCACCCTTCACTAGTTTAACCAACCAACAATTTCTAGTCAAGTGATCTATCCATAGGGGTTTGTGATCAAGATTCAATAGTTTATGATACAAAAAATCTAATTGCATTTTAAGGAAGTGGTTAAATATCATATATGTACCTCTTCCAAATTGACAGGTGAATGACACGGTATTAGAGTTGGTTAGTTTTGAGGTCACGTATTCAAGTGCTCACAATTCCAATATCAACCGTCATTAAAGCACATGGTCTGGTGGGTGCAAAGCCCATGATTTGGCTTCATTTGAGGCGGGATGTGTAACGAAGTGGTTAAATACCATATATGGACATCTCCCAACAACATCAGTTGGTTTATGATATCGTGTCAGAGCTAGTTTGTCCTTGATGTCACTTGTTCAAGTTCTTACGACCCCCAATATTAACTGTTGCCATTAAAGCACATGGTATGGCATACATGCGCAAACTTCAAGCCCCAAAAGTTGGATTTCATTTGACTGAGCATATAAGAAGGTGGTCAAGTGTCATACATAAACCTCCCAACAACTCAAGTTATTGACAATAGTTGGTTCTACTTTCTTACGATAGTTTCTTAGTTATCACTTCCACGCCAGTGAGATTTGGTTACGATATCAATGTTTTCGTTATTGTAGTTGAGCATGTGTTTACACTATTTTGTGATTCATATATAGCTGTTCGAATGTACTTACGGTGGCATTTAATGGTGCAAAGTTGTGATTAAATGGGCTTTTGGTGAAAGAAGGAAAACATTGAAAGAGGAAGAGGGAACTGAACTTTGGGCGATAAGAAGGAAGGATACCTCTAGGTTTACAAATAGCCTGAGCCATACCTAACAACTGGTTAATTGCACTGGATACCACCTAAATATTGACTTTGTTGCACACTAACCACTTAAATTTTTGTAGTTGCAACTAAACCACATAAATCAACTTCCGATTGCACCATTATATTTTCCATCCTTAAACTTAACGGTAGGTATTAAATTGGAATTTTCCAGCTCAATTTGCACTATGTATAATTACCCTATGCCTCCCTCTATTTTTCTCCATTCAATATTTATAATTGTTACCGTTTTTAAACTATCATGGATAAACAAATTTGTGTGCAACTCAATGGTAGGTATTAAATTGAAAATTTCCGCCTCAATTTGCAATATGTCTCCCTCTGTTTTTGTGATATGTTTTGCACTATGCCTCAAATTTGAACTTTGGCTTCCTTACAAGCAATTAAATTTTCTAGACTTAGGAAGTGAAATGCAATCTCGATTCGACTTTTTTGGGTTTATTATATGTTTTGCGTTGTTGGTGTCTTTCTACAATCAATTTAATCATGGTAAATATAGTTTTTTTAGACTTAGAAAGTGAGATATAATCAATTCTAATTATGATATTTGACATGGTCATGTGACATGCTTTCTATCTATTTAACCATGGTAACTATAGGGTTTTTTCCATGTCACATGCTTGTCTGTACTTTTTTCTTCTACAATTCAATTTGGTCAGACTGCTAGCTAGTACTGATACAACATCTGCAGCCAAATGAGAGTTGGAGGCTATGTAAAAATGAAATTTTTAAAAATAAACCAACAACAAAATATTAGTTTAATTGAGACGCAAATTTGAAAATTGTTAGAACTATCACTACATGATTAATATGATAATCGTAAAGGAAAAAACAATTTCTTTTTTTTTTTTTATGTAACTTCTATTTACTTCGTTTGAGTTTGTATAAATAAAGCACCAACAACGCAAAACATATCATAAACCTAGAATAATCGAATCGAGATTACATTTCACTTCCTTTTTTACGTCTAGAAAATTTAATTGCTTGCAAGGAAACCAAAGTTCAATTCAATTAATCTTGAAAGTAAAAACTGTAACAATTATAAATATTGAAGGGGAAAAAACATAGGGAGGCATAGGGTAATTATACATAGTGCAAATTGAGGCGGAAAATTTCAATTTAATACTTACTGTTAAGTTTATGAATGGAAAATATAACGGTACAACCGGAAGTTGATTTATGTGGTTTAGTTACAACTAAAAAAATTTAAATGGTTAATGTGCAACAAAATCAATACTTAGTGGTATCCCGTGCAATTAACCCCCTAACAACCATAGTAGCTCCCCGTTTAGCCACTGCACCACTGTAGTAGGTCCCCACTCTTTTCTTGGCTTCAGATGACATTTCGTCTTTTATTGAACTTTTTCTTACCTACCATATCACTTTTGAAGAGCAACCAAATTCCAATATGGTTACGGTGTAACAACCATCTTTGTAATACACTCACATGGTCCATTGGTTCTAGTGATGGCAATTTCAAACGGTCCCGCGGCCACGGGTAATACTCGACATGATCCGCGATCGGGCGAGTATACCCGACCTGTTTTAGTGTGGGGTGGGGCATGGGTATCTACTTCCGACCTGTCCTGCCTCGCCTCGCCTTATTTTTTAATCATTTTATCTCAATTTCTTATCGTATCTATACATATTTCTCATATTTTGATTTTTCTTCAACTAGTTAGAGTCGATCTTTCAACTTGTTGGACTCAATTATCCATTCTATTATCACCATTTTTCATTTATAAAGTGTTTTTTCCTTTACTTTATCGTGAAAAGTAAAATTTGCGTGTATTTTTTTTGAATAACATGTAAGAGTGGGTCGCCCCGCCCCGTACCCGAGCGGGTTTTACCCGCCCTGACCCGTAGTAACATGGGGGCGGGCATGGGTATTGAGGTACCCGCCCCGCCCATTGCCATCACTATTGGTCCTGAGTTTGCCATATAGGTTGAAGTCGATTTCAAAGGTTGAAATAGTTGAGCTTGAAAACTGACGAGTGTCTAAAATCAATCGGGATAATTGTTGACAATGTAAAAAAAGTAAAGAATAAATATAGTTACGTGGTTCACTAACACAATGTTTGTTAGTTAGCCTACGAGAATAAGAGAACCAGTTTCATTATCTTTAAGAAGATTACGGAGGGATTGAGAAGTATTTATAGTACTTCTCCAAACAGGTTAACCTTAATCCAATTTGGCAGATAATCTGATTTAAGTCATATCAACAAATCTCCGTCTTAACTTGAATCCTCACTCCAAATCTCAGATGTACTCATATCCTCTCTCCCCTACCTCAATGCCCCGACGGCCTCAACAGCTCAGAACATTCACTAAGTTCAAGCAGAAGTTAGAACTTGCCATGTGGAACCGATTTCGTGAACATATCAGCAATATTGTTGGCATGCCCACTTTCTTCACCTTAATCCTCTTCTCTATTATCAAGAAATGATATCTTACATCCATGTGCTTAGTCCTTGGCCAAGCATATTGCACTCAAATTGTCACAATAAACCACTGTCAAATCATGACATATACCCATATCACTAACCAGCTCATTCAACCATATTCCCTCCTTGGCAGCTTCTGTCAATATCATATACTACGGCTTATTAGTAGACAAAGTAACCGTCGAATGCAGAGTTGCCTTGCAGCTAACCATAAAACCTCCAAGGTTGAATACACAACCAGTCATAGATATCCTTGTGTCAACATCTCCAGCATAATCAGAATCTGAATAGCCAATCATTAAGCACTCTATATCACTTTCAAAACTTGTCTCCATATCAGATGTACCCTTTAGGTACCAGAAAATTCCTCTTCACATCCTGCCAATATTTTTCCTCAGGTTGCACCATGAACCTACACTAACAACATGTGCAAGATCGGGTCAAGTGAAGACAATAATGTACATCAAACTACCTACTCACTACGCTATGAGACTCGAGACATGTACTCTTCTCACATTCGGTTTGTGGTGCATACACTTAGGTTAGATGGATATTTGAAGCACTAGGTGTATTTAAGGCTTTGTTCAAGACATGTCGATGTGACCCCTGTGACTTCCAGCCGATGACAGCTAATCAGTTTCAAGTAATATCAACAACGAGGAAGAGGATAAAGTGAACGACTTAAACTACTTAACCAATCTCTATAGATAGAACCCACGAGAGCGATTTGGGGCTTTTGCTAAAGTTTCAACAGAAGAGATGAAGCTTCATTAATATGATCTCCCCAACCTTCTACTATCTTTTGTATTTCGCCCCCTACCCCTCCCACCTTCGCGCTCCTCTCTCTCTCTCTATCTCTCTTTCCTTGTAAGCTCTCTTCTGCACTGGTCTCTCTATCTTAAATCAGAGAAGTCTTTGACCGACGATGCCCTCTCTCTCCAAAGATCCATACACCACATCTCATGGAGTTATCATCTCTCCTTGACCTTAGATTAATGACCTCATATTTGAACGAGATGACCCTAGGGGTGACCAAGGTGACTCAAGGTGATTGACCATGGGGTTGGCCGGATGATCCCAGGAGTGCTCAAGGTGAATTAAGGTAATTGATTTCAGGGTTGGTCAGAGTGACCCAAGGTGACCTAGGATGATCGACCCTGGTGGTGGTCGAAGTGACCTGGGTGATTGATCCTTGCGTTGGCTGGAGTGACCCCAGAAATGTCCATGGGTGATCTAGGTGATTGAATCAAAGGTTGGTCGGGGTGACCCCAAGTGTGCCCAATGTGACTTGGGGTGGTTGGTCCTAGGGTGACTGGAGTCACCCAAGATGACCTGGGGGTGATCGACGAGGTGATGGGCGGAGTGACCCATGGTAACCTAGGGGGATTGACCTCGAGGGTGGCCGGAGTGACCCATGGTGACCCGGGGGGATTGACCTTGGG